TTCTATTCTCATTTAATTCAAAGCCTTGCAAAGCTTTTTTTTATGCTGTCATTTGCTAGTAACTCATTGGATGTTAATTTGTAAGCAATGATGTGCTTAGTTTATTAACTGATGAAAAAAAATGCAGGCACTAAGCAAGTTTTGGGGTAAGAACGCCTGCTTTAAATTAGTTTTTTTGAGAGATAGTTTTGCTAGCAAATCTTCTTCCTCTTTTTTGTTTGTTACTTCCTCTACAATAATTTGGCAATATTTTGAATATACTTGGAATAGAAAAATATATGCTTTTCTTAGTGATGTTTTCAATCCCAAATACTTTTTCTTAGGGTCAAATTGGGAGCAATTTTAGGAGAAAATGCATAACATAAGAACACTGTCTTGTTGCAAACAAATATTTAGATAATAGCACAAGTGCACAAGTGACTTATGAACTTCCCTTAAGCTTCTGTATTATCAGTGTACCTGGTAGTTAAAAATAATTTTTAGACTGCTTTCTTTAGCTTTGAATGATTCCTGAATAATAGTTCTCAACAGAAATGGTTGGGAAAAGCATTTGTCCCACAAGAAGAAGTTGCAGAGTGAAAGTCTTAACCTCTGTCATTGCTGGGTGTTGCAGAATGCTGTACCTAAATCTGTTTTATCAAAGAATATCTGTTATTGTCTGTTAATGAAACGTCTCAGAGCCATCAGTGGGAAAGAGGGAAGAAAGAAAAGCTGCATGTTTTGGGATAGTGGTAAAATGCTGAATTTACTGTACCCAACTGAAGACCAAAGGGAACGATTCTGGCTTTGACTTTTTGAATTTATTTTTTTCACTATGTTTAGGGTTTCAGAAGCATTTCCTAGTGTACAGACCTTTTTGTTTCTTGCTGGAAAGTGGCTTAGAACAGTCTGAAACCACTTCTTAAATTCTGCCAGCATAATAAGGGCAACACCCGGCTCAGGGCAGCAGTACAACCTGACTTTCCCCATCAGGGATATTTGGAGGGGACTTGCTGCTCTCTGTTTTCTCTCCAGTATCACACTCTAAATTATACTGTTACTCTTTTAGTTCCTTTGTTCATCCTATGGATCACTCTAAACCCTTCCTGAAGTGCTGGCAAGCCTCTGACAACATCCCCACTGGCAGAGCATCCCTGTGCAGTTTCCTTGGAAACACAGCACCAAAATGCCCTGTGAGGAGCAGCAGGGAGAGGAAAAGGAATGAAGACAGTTGCTTTGGGATTTTCCCCTCTTAGTTTTTTAATTTTCCAAACAATATCAAATATGTAAGCAATCTACTACAAACAGCAGAGTCAGTGTGGTAATCAGGCTGTAGTTATGTGTTAATCACTGAAGAAATAGAGCAAGAGTGGCCTTGTCTGTCTGTGTGGATTAGAGTCCAAATTTTATTTCTTGCTTTCCATGTCAGTGATTTTTGCAGCTTTTGATGTCTGCAGGTGCTGTTGGAGTCCTGTGGTCAGTTTTGAGACTAACACAGTGACGCTGCAGGAAGTCCTACATGTATTTGTAGGTCAAAGAAAGCCCTCACCTCTTCTAAGGTGGAAAAGGAGGAAATGTTTTCCTCCTACACTTTCTCGATGTTCACATTTCTTTGAACCCTATAAATTACGTTCTGCAAGGGCAGGGTTTGAGCCTGTTGCTTGCTGAAGTGTCTGCACCAACAAATGACACTAATAAAGAACAGCTGGATTTTTATTATTTGTGTTGCCACTGTTGCACAGTGCCCACAGCTTATTTCTGCTGCAGCTCCATTGGCTTCAGTGGAAAACAGACCAGGAAAAAATTGCCGTGTTATTTTGTTCCTTGCAGACTCTTCTATGGCTTTCATCATATCAGGACTTGCATTGCTCCTGAATGGCATATTAACTGATGAGAATAAAACCTCTTACCTTGTTTTGTTAGGTGTCATCTTGGGGTTGGTTTTGGTTTGCTTGTTTGGGGTCTTCCCCCATGATTTTGTTTTGGGGTTTTTTGGTTGGTTTTTTTTGTTTTTATTTGTTTTGCATTCTTCTTTTAGGAGAAATTGAGGAGCATTTCACATACATAGGTTTTACTCTGTATCCAGCATTGGAGTACTGTGAGAACAGGGTTTTTGGCTATAACTTTTACCCTGACACTGCTTGCACAGGTATATCCTATTGCTGAAACCTAGAGATGACTGAAGGCTTGTAGAGACAAAGTTTTCTAACCAAATGTAGATATTAGGGAAAAATCAATGGTGTTAACTCTGGTAAAATACCGACTTCTCAAGAAATCTAGAAATTTCAAAGAATACACTAATAATAATTACAAACAATCCACTAATACTTTCTGTCAGTGTAGAGCAAACTGCACCATTTTTGCAAGCCCTGGTATTGTGTCCTCCATTCTAGAAAAACTTTTGAACTGGTCTGATTTGATGCAACAGCTTTTCATCTGTGGTGACAGCTGTTCTTCTCAGTAGGAATGCAGTAATACAGACACTGCCTAATAATGGTTTTCTACATCTTCCTGTTCATATCTTCTTGCTGGTCTTAACCAAGTTTAAAAAGAAATCCTCAAAGGATTCTGCAGGTAAAGACTTCTCAGGGGATGGTAAGGTTATTAGTCTTGGATGGTCCTAATTTGGTGTAAAGCTCTCAGAGTGCTGGCCTTCAGAAAACCTGGGACATAAAAATGGCAAAAAGTCCAGTGAAACCTGGTACCAACCCTTTGATGCTTATATACCTAAATAGTGTTTTTATGCTACATACGTCTTGAAATCAGAAAAGCAGTTATTAGGCAGTTGCCTGTAGGTTTTTAGTGTTCTTTTGTCAAGTTAGAGACTGGAATCTTTCTAGTTTTTCTCTTCTAGTTTTTCTTGTTCCTTATGATGGCAGATTCCAGGTCCTTCCCCCAGCTTTTGGCTGTCTGTACCTATGCTGTGTAAGAGGACAGCCTGGAATCTGAGTCAGAGGTTAGGAAAAGAGGGTAAGTAAAGAGCTCATACAGCAACCTGGCAAACACAGCACTTAGCCTGCAGTGCAGGGCTTTGGAAGGCTGATGGTTTCCCAGATGATCCCAGTTAACATGATTGCACACAAGGAAGTGGGGGAAGGTAAAAGGGTGGGAAATGGGAAGCAGATACAAGCTGCAGCTGAAGGATGCTGGCTCTGCAATACTGAGGAGCTGAACAAAGCTATCTTTCTGCTCCTCCCACCCACTTTGTATTCCTTAATAGCAGTGCAATATCGTGCTATAGAAACCAGTTTCTGCAAGGGAAACATCTGGCTCCTTAAAGCTCAAGCAGTGGCTTGAAGATTTACAAAATATTCATAATACTTTATTTCTTTTAATCATCTATAAGGTACTTCTGAAAACAAACCAGGAAACACTTGAAGTGGAATCCAGGTTTATATTTTTCTGTATTTCTTCTGATTATGTCTCTTGCTATTAATCTGATTTTTAGAATAATATGAGAAAGAATGTTGTTCGATAGACTGCAGTTCCTTCAGATCACTTTATTCCATGTCACTGCAGGGCATTGGATTTTGAACCTAAACCTGTAAACTTAGCAACAGAGGCATGACCTGTAAGATTTCCTGAACCCCTGACAGCACATTAGGAGTTACAGTTGTACAGTCAGATGCTTCAAAGTCAAATCTCTGTGAGCATCTGTCCTGAGCCCTGGGTGCCATTGCTGCTGATGCACTTACAGCTCTTATTCCATGAAAAGCAGGGTGGTGTCCTCCAGCCCTGCAGCTCCAGGCTGACTGAGCTTTGGTTGCATCTAGAGAGGTGCCTGGGGAATCCTGGAGTGAATTTTGGGTGTCCCAGAAAGATGGGGAATAAGGGCAGTAGGAGCTGGAACTTCAGGTAAAGAAAAGGCCTCTTTGGCAGAAATTACAGGTTGTAGGTGAGTGAGAAAGGGACAAAGTAGGCCTGTACAAAACTATCAGGTAGGATTCATACTGTAATAGGAATTTTCTCCTTCTTTGGCCACCCTGTAGGAAAGAGGCTGGCTGGTCTCCATGAAATTCATATAAATGTAAATATTTCTGCTTTTTCATAGGACTTCTTTACTTGTACTGTTGTGAAGAAATAACTTGCTTACACTTTTAGGCAGTTGCAACTTTTTCAGCCCTAATTTCTCTGCATTATGTATATATTGTATTTAAGTCCTTCTGGGGGCATGATCCAGTTATGTCAGCTGCACTTGTTAAAGCAAAAAAAAATGCATTTTGTCCACCCCAAATCTGCCTCTCGTTTCTTGCTTCTGCAAAATGCTCCTTGTCTGTGTTTGAAGCCTGTCATCCTGCCTTGATGTACTTTTTCCCTCTGCAAACTTGGCCATCTGACAGCACTGCCTCTCACAGTAATTTGTAACATCCTTAAAAGCTGTGACACAGGGACGGTGCAGCTTGAGGGCTCTGTCTGCCTTGGAGAGCTAATAAAATCTGTTTGGATGGACTCAGGCTGTCCTTCCATGGAAAGTTCCTCAGCTGTGCAGATGAGAATTTCAGGGTCACAAGCTAAATCAGTGACTTTTCCATGTGATTTTTGATGTCTCTTAGCCAAACTTAATGTAATTGCATTGGAGGACCAACCTGTACTTAGGCAAAAAAATAATGATTTTCATATTTTGGCTACTTTTCCAAATTTTCCAAAATTTTTTCTTGTTTCTTTTCCCTTCCATTTCCCTACCCTTTCCCTTCCCCTTTCCCTTGCCCTGCCCTGCCCTTTCTTCTTATATTTTGCCTCTTAGCCCAAACTATAAAAGAACCAAATATAGGTCCTAAAATGTTTTGCCTCTGAGAATATGAGTGGAACTTTAAAACTTTTGAATGACAGGATACATGACCTACAAGAAGTTCTCCTTATTCACTTGGGGTGTGTAATATGATAAAAGAACATCTCTAAAGTAAAAATTTTTTTCAAAATGCCTTGAAACCACATTAATTCACTGCAAGGGAATATAAACAAATGCTTCAGCACTTGATTAAGAAATACTGGAGTATTCTCATTCTCTTTTCTTTGTGCAGAAACACGAACAGATAGAACAAAGAAGCTGTTTAGACACTACACAGTTGGATCCTATGACAGCTTTGATGCTTCAAGGTAAAAATTTTTCCTTTTGGTCACAATGTTTACAAAATCTTCCTGGGTTTTATTTAATTGTTACTTTTGGTTTAGATTTTGGAGGGAGAGAGGGAAGCAGGTTATTAAACAGAGCTTTTTAGGATATCATTCAACATCAAAATTGGTTTTTGTAACAGCTTACTTTGTTCATATGGGATGGGTCTGCAATAATAGGAGGGAATTAATGTGTCACTGTTTTGTTTCACGAGTGGTGAGAGAGATCAGCCTTTCACAGAAGCAATGCCAGCTGCTTCTACAGTCAAGGACCATTTAAGTTGTTGGATTCTTCACAAGATCAAACCTTTTGTCTGTTCTGGCTGACAAGGAAACCAAAATAAAATGTTGTCATTTGTTGTTCTGAACATATCTTTACAACCTAAGTGGACCTGAAACTGCTAGAAATGAGGCATTTCAAAATTGGGTAATTAATTTGCGGTTTCTGCTGAGAATTCATAATTTTTAAGCAGGTTCTTCTCCCATGTACATATACCTTGGACATCCAGGACATCCTTGTAGATAGCATGATTTTTAAAACACACGACCTCAGTTAGCTGTTGGTGTCTTCTTGGGAAAGTTTTGGTGGCGTACTGGAATCCTTAGGGTTTTCTCCTGACTGTCCAATTACAGCTTGGGGTTTTTTTTTCAGGAATTCTGAAATGTGCAAAGCAATGGTGGCACAATATTCAAAGAAAAGGAGAAGGTTTATTAGGTGATCTTAGCTCTTGTTCTAAGGATCATGTGTAGTTTTTATGTCAGTTAAACAATCTGGGGAGGGAGGAAGGAGTTCTTGCTTGCTGAAATAGTTTGAATACCCAAGATGTCCTAAAAAACATTTGAAAAACACATCAATTTGTCATCCCTTGAGCTGTGATTTGATTGAGTGTTGCAATGTTGGCTGGAGAGGGAAGGTTTGGTGAGATGGGGCGATGGGGAGTTCCCAAAGCTTTGCACTGTTGGACAAGTGATTGACTGGAGAGTCTAATAATGGTAAAGGTGTCAAGAGTTGGCAGCCTGTACTGTGAAATAAATAACAGCAGAGTTCACTTTTTGCAAGATCCTTTGAGGGATCATTATTCTGTAAAATTCCCAGCCTTGTCTCTGTGTTTCAGTGTTAATGGACAGGGTGGTTTCTGTCCAAGCAGAAGCTGTGGCCGCCGTGTGTTGCCTCAGAGATACCAAACAATCCCACTTGGAAACCTCCTGCTGCTTTCTAACAACATTACAAAATGTCAGTTCCATCAAAACCTTCCTGTCTTTTTCTTTTTGGAGGGAGGGAGCTATTGATTCTAGAGCATTTGGATTTTTTGTTGTCCTTTTACCAAGAAAATTCAGGTCCATTCGTGGGAGAGAATAATGTCATCTGAAATGTGGTTACAGAGGTTGTTTTGAAAGCAGGAGGCCAAAAGCCAAATTCAAACCAAGGGCTTGAACCTCATTTCAGTAGTGCTCAAGTATTTTTAACCTGTAAACTGTTGGGGATGAATGGATCACGCTCTGCTTTTGGGAAGTCACAGTAAGTGTGTGAGATGTTTGGGGGAAAAGTGGTTTATTTTTATTTTTTCTTAAGGTTTATGTAGTGCAACAGTAAAGCTCTCAGACAATTCACATTACTTGATTCAAGACTACAGCGGAGAAGGAAAGTTTATCAGAAAAAAAATGAGGTTTTGTACAGCCTTATTATTGATAAATTATTTATTAAATATGTCTGCAATGGTTCCTGATTCTGGCATTGATATCTTTTAATTGTCTGAGCAGTGAGAGGGAAAGCAATAGAGTTCTCCTGCCACATTGTGAGTAAAGCAAGTCTTTGATGGAAACTCATCAGTGGATCCATTTTGAGCAGTAAAAGTGGAAATTGAGAGGGAAAGGTAGGAGAGAGTAGAATTAATGGGAAATTCCAAGAAATACAGCGGAAAGGTAGACTTGATTACCACACTTTTAAGCAGAGAAAAGTGTGGTAATCTAGAATGTTTATCAAGTAACACTAGAAAAAAAATACAAAAATGGGTTTGGGTGTCTAAGTTTCCAAAACTAATTAATTACTGAAACAAAAATGCTTGTTCCTCTGAAGCAGATTTAACAACTCCTTGTAATTATGTATTTACAGAGAACTTACACTGTGGTGAAATTTTAACTTCCTTTTGCATTCTTTACAAAGTGAATGCTGCTCTGATACTTTTTTCTTACACACACAAAAAAGAGAATTTGAGGACTCTGTCCTAAAACTACAATAGCACTCAAAATTGTGTCAGATACTTGACTGAGGCTTCAAATCAGCTTCTTGTGCATCTAAATGGTAATTTTCCTGGTGCTTACGTATTGCTGCTGAGGAAAAAGAATTTGCATTTAAGAATCTGGCTGGAGATTAGTATGTCTTGTGAGTATGTAGAGATTTAATACCTCACATGGGCTTCTTCAGGAGGGGTATTACTAAAAGAGGCAAACAAGGTGTCAGACTAACAGCAATTCTTGGTATTTGTACTGCTTTGGTGACTTTCTCTGGTATCATTTCCCATCAAAGTAGGGGAAAAATACAGTAACTAAGGTTTAATAAACATTTGTCAGAAGGCAATTGTTGCCTGTGTGCTAAGAACAGCTCTGAATCCCAAGTATTAACAAAGCTGATCCAGTTCCTTTCTGGAGATGATGTGGGGGAGTGAGGGGAAGTGCCTGCCCCTTTCTTTTTTAACTTCTCCCTCCCAAAGGGCAAAAAATTGCTGAGTAGAAACACTCTGTTCAGAAGTCTGTGTTAATGGGCTTATTCACATTCAGGAAAATACATTGTACATGGCATTTTTCATCTTTAAGAAAATGTGCAGCTTGAGTAATGGAGGTTCATTAAATCCTATTCCAGCTTTGCATAAGAGATCAGTTAACCATACATTAACTTCAGGAAAATGGGGAGGATACTTACTAATAGGGAGAAAGGCAGTGAGACTTGCTTACCAGTGCAAATAGTCATTAAATATCACACAAATATAATATTTGAAACTCCCAGGTCCAATTTATTATCTGCTTTAAGTGCTGTTATAGACATTAATTCTGATATGCAAAAGTGACGTCTCTTGCTGCTGTTACTGCTTCTATTTACATGGATTTCTTTACTATTTTATTAAATCTTGTAGGAAATGATCACGTTCATTCTCCTTTGGTCTGATGCAGATGGACAAATGCTGAAGGGAGAGATAGGGTTTGTTGCAAAGACAACATGTGAGAGAAGGTAAAGTTTGTTGTGCCAACAGGAGCTCTTGTTGGACAAACAGTAAATACACATTCCCTAAATATTTGTGGCAGGCTGCAGCTCTGGAGGCTGAGATGGCAAGTGGGATGGGCAAAGATTCCTTCTTTCCCTGGGAAAGGCTTCCAAAGCATTATAAATACCCTTCAAGTCTATTTAAAGTTCATGACTACTGTTAATTCAAAGAAAATTATTTGTAGGCCTTAAATCAGTTACTTCAACAACGCTGGATTCCAGTTTAATAACAGAAATGTTGCTAAGGCATAGAGCAGATGTTGAAATTTTTTACCAAGTCTATATTTTAAAAAAAAATAAAAATAAGATAAACCTTTAGAAATGATAATTTTTTAATCTACTTTTTAACTGAAGTGAGGGAATTGATTAATTCTCTCAAGATAGGCCAGTGAATTGTTCAGTCAGGAAAATCAGAGGAGGCAAAATTAAATTATCAAATTAAAATATGTGTGATTAATTTTTTTTAATTTCAGTTGTGAAATGTTAGCACCTTTTTAAATGTGATGTAACTGATAATACAGCGATAACAGACATAAATAATATGAACCATTTTGGTACGTGGTAAAAATGACAAACCTGATTTGGTGGAAGACATGATCCAGTTGCCTCCATGAATTTGGAAACTTTAGAACATGACAGTGGAAACTTTTCCTACTGCATTAATTGCATCATCTCCCTCCCACCCCCACCAGAGCAGGGCATAGCAAAAGTCAGTAGCAGAACTGAGTGCCAGCTTCAATGCAGTCATGAAACATGCACATAAATCCAGGGTTTTCTGCCCAGTCTGTGTCTTCTCTTCCCACTGGTTTTGACTTTCACGTGTGGGATTCTCTCTCACCACTTTAATGGTCCTGCTCACTCCATGGCAGAAGTTTTCTTGGTGCCTTTCCTTGCCATCCTGTGGCTCCAGCAGTATTAAGGAGCTCACAGGAGAGGATGTAATGACAAATAACCCTTTCCAAAGCCTTGTTGCCACAAAGTTAATGACAGGACCAAATTGATTTGCCTTGTGGTTTTTGCTCTGTTTTTCTGGGTGAAGAAGAGGGAAGTTGGATGGTGTAGCCTGGGAGGTACATGTAAGAAAGCCTAATTGAAAGCTCACTTTATTCTGTGATTACCATATTGATAAGAAGTTGAAAGTGACTTTGCAGTTGTTCTTACCTGCAGGCATGTATATTAAACATAATTCTAGGTTTCCTCTGGTGGAAAGAAATAAAAGCAGCAGTATTTTAACTTTTTTTGCTTATATCCATAGCTCAGTTTTTGCCTACAAGATGGTAGCAAAAATATCTGAGTAGGCTTATAGTTGTAAAGAAATAGATATTTAGAACCATGTAATGTGGGGATGTGGTTACACATGAATGCTCATTGAGAATTTAGTGATTTAAAATCTCTGCATATATGATATTCTTGGTTCTTTTAGGCACAGAGAACACTCAGCACCAGCCAAATTGTAGAAACAAAGCGTGAAAAATATTTTGTGTGCATGTTATGTGTAAAGTTATCTTGTTGGACCTGCCTATTGTCTGTTCTGAATTAATTAATTAATTAACTATGATAGTCTGATAACACTGAACTGCTCTTGATGTAAGGCAGAAAGGCAGAAAGGGTAGCTTAGTTTTAATACCTTGTGCCTCATTAACTTGAAGAGCATAATTTAATACAATTTGAAAAATTGCATATGTGCTTAAGCAAAATTAAGGCATTGTAGACTCTGTGGAACAGG